CACACTTTGAGGTATCCTCGTAATAACCTCATATTCCTTGCATTCTGTCGTCAAGCACCATGGCCATTATATGGCTCACATAGGAACCATTAAAAACTTCACTTTGAATAATTTTTCAAAGCAGACCTCAACATCTTCATTTTCTCCATTTCCTATCAGGTGGTTCATAACTATGGTCATGGTGCCAAAGGAGTGTGCTTCAGTTGGGGATGTGCAATACAGGCTACAAAACTAGTCAAGGAATTGTTATCAAAAGTGGGACCATAAGACCAGAAATGTAATTTAATAATCTATTTTAATCAACAAATAAAAAAAAAATTCATTTGCTATGATTTCTTATTTGTATCAAACATTTTCACTTCATCATTTGATGCTTTCTTCTCTGCATGTTCTGCCATCTGTAAGGCTTTTTTTATCATATCAGTAATTTTTGGGTCTTTTATAGGCTGTGTTTCAAGAAATCGTTTTTCTTTGTCTGATTGTTTTGATTGCTGTGGAGAGAAAAATTCGTACATGGTATTAGCTCTCATGATATCCACTCTGTACATAATACCATCCCAAAATGAATCATGTCTCTGTATTGTCCCCTAACATCTATGCACAAAGTATCATTGAAATCCAACAAGGGGTTCAGGGGAACAGCTACACAAACAAGGAGTAAAAATAGTCAGTTTCTTGACTGGTTACTGGAGAAATACTTGGTCGGGATTCTCTCACTGTTATGCAATACCTTTCTCATGTTTGTTTTGAATGAGCCATATTCTACATCGTTGCAAAGAAATAGTTATACACATGTACATTTTTATAGCAGTGACAGAATTTGCCTTTATGGGTTTGTGTAAATTGTTTGTGATTTGTTGTTGCAGTTGAAAACATAAAATAGGTATGACTTTACCGGTGTTGGAAAGAACACAATAATTGTATTGTTTAATATAATGAATCACAAGAATATACCATGGTATGCAATGACTGAATAATCTGTGCACAATCAAAGTATGCAAAGAGTGTGACAATAAAGGGTCTACCAACCCTTTGGTTTTCATTTGGAATGGCATGTCTATGCAAATTTATTCCAACTTTGTATAAAAATCACACATTAGTTATTGATGCACATTAAATTGTTTTGTACAGTAATTTGAGTAAAACTGGTTGAATTGTGGCCATGTTAGTTTTATTTTCATACAAGTAATATATATACAAAACAGTGTATATGTATAATTGAAAGAACTTGGCTGATCAAAGTAAATGATATGTCAAGTATTTGGAATAATGTCTGATATCTTGTTTCAAACAAAAATTTAAAGTGTTTATCTTGAATTATCAACAATTTAATTTAATCTGTGCTATTGTGTCAACAAGTCACTGAAATGTATCATAGCAGTGTCAAGTCCAGTTTAATTTATACAAATAATATTTTCTATGTAGAATACAATTATTGATTGCCAAACATTTATTTGATTTGCTGTTGTGAGTTTGGATTGAATTAAAACAACCACCACAGTACAAATGTTACACATGTATAACATCTGACTTGGAAACTAGCTTGACATATTGGCATTGGCAGTTTTTCATGAATGTGACCATGCTTACTTTGTGTATACATGTTGTGCTTAGGGTCCTTCTCACATGTGAACAAATATTTATTCTTACCAATGAATATTTTCTCCTTTTTTTGAGTACAAGTCCTTCCCTGGCAAGTTCTTCTACAGTTAAATTAAATAATCTGTAACAATCAACGTCATCTTTTTTTTCCAATTCTTGATATTTTTGTATGAATCTGCAAATGATAACAATTCAAGTTTGCAATTTCTCCCTCCCCTTACCCTGTAGCAGTCGATCAGTAAACCTTCTCCCTCCCCTTACCCTGGGATAGTCAGTAAACCTACCTTCCCTTACACTGCAGCAGTCAGTAAACCTTCTCCCTCCCCTTACCCTGTAGCAATCAGTAAACCTTCTCCCTCCCCTCACCCTGTAATCATCAGTAAACCTTCTCCCTCCCCTTACCCTGTAGCAATCAGTAAACCTTCTCCCTCCCCTCACCCTGTAATCATCAGTAAACCTTCTCCCTCCCCCTACCCTGTAGCAGTCAGTAAAACTTCTCCCTCCCCTTACCCTGTAGCAGTCAGTAAACCTTCTCTGTCCCCTCACCCTGTAGCAGTCAGTAAACTTTCTCCCTCCCCCTACCCTGTAGCAGTCAGTAAAACTTCTCCCTCCCCTTACCCTGTAGCAGTCAGTAAACCTTCTCCCTTCCCTTATCCTGTAGCAGTCAGTAAACCTACCTTCCCTTACCCTGTAGCAGTCAGTAAACCTTCTCCCTTCCCTTATCCTGTAGCAGTCAGTAAACCTACCTTCCCTTACCCTGTAGCAGGCAGAAAACCTTCTCCCTCCCCTTACCCTGTAGCAGTCAGTAAAACTTCTCCCTCCCCTTACCCTGTAGCAGTCGATCAGTAAACCTTCTCCCTCCCCTTACCCTGGGGTAGTCAGTAAACCTACCTTCCCTTACACTGCAGCAGTCAGTAAACCTTCTCCCTTCCCTTACCCTGTAGCAATCAGTAAACCTTCTCCCTCCCCTCACCCTGTAATCATCAGTAAACCTTCTACCTCCCCTTACCTTGTAGCAGTCAGTAAACCTTCTCTGTCCCCTCACCCTGTAGCAG